TGATTTGGCGGAATGGCCGGCAGTAAAACCTGTTTGTACGTCTCTCCGAGGCGACGTCCTCCGACGCAGGTTCGCCGGCGAAGAGAGCGAGGGCTCGTTGCATTTCCGGCAAGATACCGTAAAGCGTAAGTGACTCGGTTAACCGCCGCCGGTACTCCGTGGAAATGCTATTTGCGTCCTAGGGAAATCCAGCCGACGTCGTCCATTTTCCTCCCTCCTTCCCTGTCCGTTTGGTTCAATCTGAATTTTGACGACGTCGTCAAAGTGCTCTCCTCCTTTTAAGAGAAGCACCTACACTCCATGCCGTATGAAACTGGCCTAATGAAATTGACGGGGCGAGTCCTTGACTCGAGAATTGAATTAAATCATATTGGAAGTGATCTTGGTTTTTGATCTCATAATTAATAATCTCGTCTAATATTTAGGGTGTTCAAAAACTCATTCATTTCTGAAGTATACCTGAACGTTTTTCATATGTAAAAGGTCTTTGCGGAAGCTTCGTGATTTTATAAGAAAAAGATGCTAACCATAAGAATGCATGGAAATGAACAGAGAACAAGATTCTATCTTTATTTTTGTCATTGACTGTATAAAATTATTTAGACAAAACGAGAAATAAACAAAGTCTTCTCAAGTTTTCAGAGCAGAATTTACTGTAAGCTCACGCCCTAAACCGAACGTTTTCCAATAGACCAATCGTTCCAATCACATCCACCCCTACGAGCTTTTCCAGGCGATCGAGCTCTGCCGTAGAAGGGTATAATAGAGGCTGCCGGAGAAGTGGTTCGCATCGAGAAGCCTCGAATTAGTCGCGGGGATTCGTAGCCGGAGGGCGCGTGAAAGTAAAACAGAAGAGGTCTCGCGGCACACGCACATGTGTTTCCACCTTCCGCGGCGTTTCACTATTAAAGCGACGGCGCGCGGACCCACCCGCGTCGCGATTTCCCTCTGCTCCTCGCCGCGCGAGACGGTCTACGAAAATAAGTCGCTACGCGCCCCGGCAATTACGCGAGAGGACGACTTCGTCGACTTTTAATTTGCCTGGCCACTCGCTCCTCTCCTGGCGCGTCTCGCCTTTTCCGAGAATTTTACGCGCGCGAATTTACGCGAGATGAAAACGAACTTTTCGGCTCTTTGTGCGGCACGCGCGGCGACCACTTCCTTCCATCCAGCGGGTCTCGTAAATCCCCACGAGCTGGAAAGCCGGCGAGTGTTTTCCCACCGCGCCGCGTCGGGAAACACCCGTCGACGCGAGTTTTCTCGAGCGAACTCGAGGATCTCGTTTCCGCCCGCCGGCACTTAACGATCCGGCAGCCATTAGTCGCGCGAGAACCCACGGCCAGGAATAATAATACGCTAATTCTAGCGTGGCTACTTCGAACCGGCTAGTTTGTCTCGCCGGACGGGTCGACAGGTATCAATCAAGCGGCACTTCAGTTTCTCCGACATCAACGAGAAATTGATTTCATCCTCTTTTTCTGATGTTCCGATCCTCTTGTCTCACAGGTTTTAAAACACGTATTAATATTTTATTTCGATATCAATTTCCCTGGTATAAAAATACGAATTTGCAAACATCTGCGGTTTTTATTAATAACTGCGCTCGAAAAATCTAGAGTCGTCGTAATTGGGCGATATATTTTTTCCCCGACGAATTCGGTTCTGCTGTTGCACGCACGATTGCCTGGCTCACGGATTTTCGCTGCCAGTTGGGAAATGATTAAAAAACTTGCGACTGCTAATGGGACGTCGGAGGTTTTTCAGATTTATCGATGTGCCAAACGTCATACTTCTCGCGAAACTACTCGCAGGGGTTTGAATAGGGAGGGGTTGGGGGGGTACTAGTTTGGATACAAATTTTTCGTCCGCCCGAGAGTTTCTCGACGAGCTCCGGTTAACGATCCGGGAACGGCTTGCTCGTTTATATGCCCGTACGCAAGTCCTGCTACTATTCCCACACCTCTCCCCTGGCTACCATTACGGGAGCGTGTCTTTTCAAGAAAATCGTGGCTGTTCTGCAAAACGACTGTGCAAACGTCCCGAAGAAACCTGTTTTAATTGCGTTCGAATTAGTGAAGCAAGACCCGTGAAATTTGCCTCTGCGAAGTCCTGTAGACTTAATCTCAGCACGGAATTCATTCTGTTCATATAAACGTCTAATTGCAAATTGAATTATGATATTTATGCGATAATGATGTGAAACGTAAGGTTCCTGTAGTACATTTTATCTGAACAAGGAATTTACTCTGTCCATATAAACGTCCAATTGCAAATTAAATTATAATATTTATGCGATAAAGACGTAAGAGGTCTCACAGGTATGAAATGTACGGTTGATAATTTTAATTTAATTACCCCGTCGAAAGACCAGTTTGCCTGTTCGATCGCCATAAATCAGTGCGCGCAGCTGGTACGAGAGGAACGTCGAACGCGTTAAAAGGAAGAGTCGGTAGCATAAACGAATGCGTTATTTAAAGAGAGGCGAATGGCATGGAAATCGAGCGTCCAGGGAACGTACAAGGGCACTTTATGCGGCGGCTCTTTGCTAAAACTCGGGACGCGTAGAAGGTGGTGTTGTTTCGCTGGATGAGAGATCGCCGGCGTGCGTATCTCGAAGCTAACCGCGAACAAACGGGCCACTAAATCCGCGTGATTTCTTCGTTTCCAGGCCGTATCGCGGCGAGATTTACAGGAGACGTTAGACGTCGGCGCCAATGCTGGAAATAGCGGGTACCGGCGCGCAACCGGCCAACTATAAACTCACCCCTTTCGCGACCTCGATCGCTCTCCAGATATACCTAAGGTTGGCTCTAGGATGGAAAATACTGCCGCGGTCCCTGGAATTCCCTCGGTCGCGTTATTTTCCCGTTAAATTACTAGCGCGAGCCTCGGGAACTTCTCCCTCGGAATCGGCGAATTCCTCTCTAATGAGCCGTCCGTCTTCGCCAGGTCGGATGCGCAGAATCGATATTGCACTCGCGAGATTTGAACGTTATACGCAGTTCGTAAGTCTTACGGCACTTCCGGAAAGTCGACATTTTGCAGAAAAGATGTATCGCCAATTGTTCATCCATATTTATACATGGACGTCGGCCAGGAGGCAATAGACAATAATTCACTTAAGCACTGAAAAACGTAGTTACTCGGGCCAGCGCCGGGATAGATGACAGTTCGGCCGAGCAGCGAAAAACGAGGGGTCGACCGAATGTTGGATAACGTAATAATTCCGCCGAGTGGTCGAAAAAGCTACAATTCGATCCAGTGCTGTAAAACAATACAGTCCGCGAACATTTTACTAATAGTTGACAGTATATTCAAAATAAATACAAATTTCATAAATAAAATTCCATGATTCTTCATTGAATAGTCTCAGTTCTGACAGTATTTGCTATTGAGTGTTTATTCCCTAATAAACTATGCAATTTTAGAAATTTTGCACGTGCTTCTAATTTCAAATCATATTAGGAAAGCTCACGTTTTACAGCGTTCGGGTTGTCGACTTTCCGGTCAAATTGTTACGTTCTCCAGCAGCCGGTTGAATTAGTATCTTCTTCGCTGCTCGACAGAACTGTTATCATTCCCAGCGTTCGTCCAAGTAACTACGTTTTTCAGGTCTCAGGTGAATTATTACGTTTTGCCTCTGAGTCGACGACAACATCGCATTCGATTACGCATTAAAACTTATGGAGGCTCCACGCCGCGCACGAATCGCGGTAATAGATCCCCGTGACCAGTGATTAATCGCGCGTCGCGGTGGACTCGGAAAGTCCCGCGAATCGAACAAGCCTCGCCGCGAGCCACGGTCCGCTGCGCCGAGTAACTCGAGGATACACGCTATGACCTTAATTACTGTGTCGACTAATCGATCCTCCGCATTGTGATCGTGCTATCCCCGACACCGGTGCCCGACGTAAACCGCTCCACGGTGAATGGTATCTTAATTGCCGGTCGGATAACTCGATTCAGCCACTTAATCGATTATGTGCCTCTATGGAGCTGTCGCATTCGCATTCACTCGAGTCTTGATGAAATTTCCAGTCGTACATCGCGTCTGGGAAGTAGAATACCGGAATCTCAGGTTCCTGTATCAAAGAGACCTGGAATTCCCCGAACAGGGATGGTCGAACCACGGGCAACGGCTTCATTAAAACCGTCTGGCACGTTGTTTTTTCACGGTTCTCGAACGATATCGAGGAACCAGCACCGTGGAATCCGTACGCCGGACAGTATTATTCGCGATGGTAGCCCGATACACGAGGGAGAGCCGTAGAGGAAGGCAAGAAACGCGTCATCGAGCCGGGATTTTTCCACGGGTCGTTGAATAACGAGCTGGCTCCCTAAACTTGCCAGATAAGCATCGCGAAGTAGTCGAAGAAACTGCCGTTAATTAGCCAAAAAGTGAAGGCTCGCCTATGCTACGCAGGATCCCTCCTTGCTTTTTTCTCCGATCCGCGCCACGACGGCACCACCGTGAATAAAGTACAGTCCTCCTCGTCGGCCCGCTCCCCCGCGCGGCTCACCCTCCCATCGCCATCCGGTGCGCACGAGCTTCGCCCCCTCGGTCGTAGAGAAGAACGAGCAACGAAAGGGCCCCACGGCGTTTTCTCCTCTCTTTCCTCCTCGTTCTTTCGCCTCTCCTCTACGCCGTCCGAACTCCCGATCCTAATCTCGATAATGACGCGTAATGGTTGCTGGCGTGAATGTAGCTCTTTGTCCGTGGCTCCTGTACCGGTCGTATATCTGTCCGGTGCGAGAGCCGCGCCATTTCACCCCGGCGAAAAGCACGGGGAGTCCGAAACGGCCGTTTCCAGCCTCTGTTTTTCTATCCCGCAGCCTCTCTTTATATCCCAGGAATTTCCTGAGAACTTTCGATTGCTTTCTTTCTACTAGCTGCCGATTCCATATTGCCATTCCCCGTTCTTGCTCCGGGTTTTTGTTTTCGTTAGATAATTTCCTGTACGCAACGCTGGTTTCTCATTATCATCCCGGTGTTCTTACAGATACGGTTATGAGAGTTCGATGACCACTGGATAGCGGACCATCCATCGACGCCACCATGGACTACCTGCAGACGTGCCTCATCTTCTATCTATTGATCCTCTGTTTCTGTGGAGGACGAACCATAGACATATGTAAGTATACATATTAATTGACTTTTTCTATCAGAATGTCTACCATAATTATGATGGACATATAGAGGATGTGTTCTTCCGGTGATATTATTTCGTTTTGATATTGGATGGTTTCCAGGATGGTTATAAAAGGTGTTGGTTCAGTTTTGCTCTTTGCTATAAAGTACACATCCCAATTTCCGTTCAACTCACAATTCCTACTCACCGACTTAATTTTCTATAATTTGAAGATAACACAGAATTATAGAAAAATACGCCAGTGAGTAGAAGTTGTGACGTAAACAGAAATTAGTACATTTATTAATGCAATAGACATAAACAGTATATCGCTTAATCCAACCAAAAGATTTAATTATTTACAATTAAAAAAATATAAGATGCCAAAAGAAAAACTGTAGAACGTTCCTAACTACTTTCTAATCGACGCAAAGCGTATCAAAACGCGGTATTCGAAGTAACCCGTTTATCTAACCAGCGACAGAAAATCGATGGCGTCTTCGGTGTTTCTCGCCGGGTGCGAGGCGGGAATACGTGTTTACATCCGAGACCATAATTCTCGCGTCGGTAACAAGCCCTGGCCGTTCGGGACTGATAAAAACGAGAACGAATCCCTCCGTTACGCTTGTACCAACATCGTCGACCCCTTCGCGCCGCGTATTCGAACCGCAGTTTCTGCTCTGCTTGCTTTCCATCCCATTGACTTTGGATTCGGGATGGGAGAGTCACCCTGCGTCAGGTAAACAGGCCCAGGATCTTGCAAAGTATCCGGGCAAGAAAGGCTTTTAGGTACTCGTTCGTGAAATCGACACTCTGTCAAATGTACAACCCCGTTCATGAGTCTTGAAACATTGTAAAACACGTAACCGAGACGTTGAATAAATAAAAGAAAATTTGTGATATTTTAATGCAATTATTTCTGTTTAAAAGCAATTCCATTGCAATTATTCATGATTTGTCACATGAAACCCATTATATGATTAAACACAATATTTATAATTCATGATTGTAGTAAATGTCTCAATTTATTGCATATGAAGTTATAGAAAAAAGAAGAACAGTAAATAGGAATTGTGACGTGAACCAAAATTCGGACATTTACTCAGCCTTACTAATTTGTCAGCCTTGTTTAAATATAATAAGCAATTGTTTTAACGCTTATGAACAGGAGTGTATCTCGCGGCACCCTCTTCTGAACTTGAAACTCAGCCGCGAGCACCGGAAAGATGGATGGTGTCGGTGTTTCGGTCTGGTTGCGCGCCCGGCCGCCTCGCGATACACGGTATAACAATTTTAGAAAGAAATAAATCTACGCCGGGCAGAATGTTTAATGGAGTGGGCGGGATCGCGTTTTTGTCGAACTTGCGGCTGGGCTAAGCAACGGGGGAGGAAGGTGCGAGGCGTTCTTGCGAGATGGAGATTGAAATTTATCGCAACGCCGCTAATGACGAGAATCGCTGGACGAACGATGATGGTAGTTAAGTGGTCGCAGGAACGGAGCGGTGATTTTTAAGAATTTTTTCAATGTCAATTCTGGCGTTGATAGATGGCCGCGGGAGATTAGTAATTTCCTCAAACGATATCACGTTGGGAATTCCATCACGATTCTCAACCCCTAATGCGTTTAATTTTTTCGCCACGTACTTAAGATTTGCATACAAAAACGAGTCAATTACTATTTGTTGTATTATCATTAGTCGTGTGATAGTTACTTATTTTTTATTTTATTTATTAGAGTACATAAATCGACTATAGTTGTACGTTAGACTCATATAAATTGTCTTTTGCATCTGCATAAACTGCATCTCATAATGTTTACTAGTTTTCTAAATAGAAAGAGCAGATATTTAGTTTTGACAAGTACATATCTTATGTGATAGTTCCATTTTAGTTAGAGTAGCATATAACTCGCTATATAATTGAAGGAATGTTATATAACAATTTGCTTTTTACGTAATTTCAGGAAATATGATTTATTACATTGCATTGTAATGGATGGTCCAAGAGTTAAATAGTTCTGATTTTCTAAAGGACAGATTCTGATGCCTTGAGTACTAGTAGGACCAGAGAGCAATATAAAGGAGTTCGACAGTCGTTTCTGCAGATTTAATGAGCGGACGGGTCGTAAATCGACGGACGGGAACAATAAGTAACAATCGGGTGAAATATAAATAGTGTTTCGGATGCGACGAAAGCTGTCCTGGGTTAGAAAACGGGAGGGGAATGGGAAACCGTGGCGACGAGGGACCGGAGAGATATCGGCCCTCCTGCGGTGAGTGAACTTGTACGTCGAACCGCGTTGGTAAATTCGCGGTCGTGTTAAGCGGGTCGGGGCGAGCGAGGGCCGAGGCTGGAAGGGCTGCAGGCCAGTTAAAGCGCGCATAAATTGCAATGTTAATGTTGCCTGCGATACATAAACATGTTGTACGTCGGTCGGATTGCGGTCCGCGCGCGGTGCCAGCTTGCACACGGGCGCGTGCACGCGGGGGAGAGGGGAGATCGAGTAGTCGTCGTCGTCGCCGTTCGGTTTCGCGTATTCGATTCAACCGGGCACTACAACGCGTGTGCGCGACGCTTTTAACGGAGCCTGATTGCAAGGGCCACGCGACACGCCTGTGTCCGGCTCGCGTGCGCCGCTGGACAGGATTCGCGAAGCGGCCGCGAGAAAAGGAGCAAACCGCGATATTCGCGGCCCGCTCACTCGCTCGTGATTGGTGGCTACCGGCTGCACGCATGTGCCAGGAGATGGAAATGTTTTATGCCAGCGACGCTCGTCCTTTTTGATACGGATAAGAATGAAATACTGCTGGGGTTTGGACCTCGCTCAATATGTATTATACGTTCGGAATGAAAGCTATATTTATTTTAATCGTGATTTTAACTAAGAATAAAAAATATGTAACTGACATTGAAAAAAAAGTATAATGACGAGACTCCAGTTTTTTATACAAATTGAAATATTTATGGTATCAGTGAAAGAAATGAATTCCGATGAACATTATAATAAGCACTCATTTTTTAACCCTTTCAGTGCCAACGACGATATATCGTTGAATGAGAAATCCTATGAATGAAATTATAAGAGTTTAAAATTGAGTAAAGCACAACTCTTGCACTCAAAAGGGTTAATATTTTGTTTATTTTCAAAAATGGCATTCTTTATATTTACTACCACTACAATTTTTCTATAAATACATAAAATCCACAGTCTGATATTGTCAGTTTTTTTTAGAATCTTGTTCATGATGTAACGTACAATGTTTTTGATACCAAAGAAGGGAAGAAGGAAGTTGAAAAAGACTGTAATCGCTCGTTCCAGTTACATGAATCATGCGGAACGTTTCAATCGTGGGAACGCGGCGAGAAAAGAGTGTTTTATTTTGAGGACCCCAGCCCTCTTCCTCCTCGACTCGATAGTGTTCCCATCAAAATGCACATGCGATCGAGTATCTGTGATTAAACCGAGCGCACCCAGTAATTCCTTATTTCACGCGAACATTGAATCGAATCGTCCATCGATAACAGTAATGTTAAAAATGCACGTATGTATGTAGGACAATAATTCTTATATTCGCGGCCCGCTCACTCGCTCGTGATTGGTGGCTACCGGCTGCACGCATGTGCCAGGAGATGGAAATGTTTTATGCCAGCGACGCTCGTCCTTTTTGATACGGATAAGAATGAAATACTGCTGGGGTTTGGACCTCGCTCAATATGTATTATACGTTCGGAATGAAAGCTATATTTATTTTAATCGTGATTTTAACTAAGAATAAAAAATATGTAACTGACATTGAAAAAAAAGTATAATGACGAGACTCCAGTTTTTTATACAAATTGAAATATTTATGGTATCAGTGAAAGAAATGAATTCCGATGAACATTATAATAAGCACTCATTTTTTAACCCTTTCAGTGCCAACGACGATATATCGTTGAATGAGAAATCCTATGAATGAAATTATAAGAGTTTAAAATTGAGTAAAGCACAACTCTTGCACTCAAAAGGGTTAATATTTTGTTTATTTTCAAAAATGGCATTCTTTATATTTACTACCACTACAATTTTTCTATAAATACATAAAATCCACAGTCTGATAGTGTCAGTTTTTTTTAGAATCTTGTTCATGATGTAACGTACAATGTTTTTGATACCAAAGAAGGGAAGAAGGAAGTTGAAAAAGACTGTAATCGCTCGTTCCAGTTACATGAATCATGCGGAACGTTTCAATCGTGGGAACGCGGCGAGAAAAGAGTGTTTTATTTTGAGGACCCCAGCCCTCTTCCTCCTCGACTCGATAGTGTTCCCATCAAAATGCACATGCGATCGAGTATCTGTGATTAAACCGAGCGCACCCAGTAATTCCTTATTTCACGCGAACATTGAATCGAATCGTCCATCGATAACAGTAATGTTAAAAATGCACGTATGTATGTAGGACAATAATTCTCGACCCATTTTTTAAAATTTCGTTAAATATCGTATAAATTTCGTTAAATATCGTATTAAATTTTCGTATAAATTTCGTTATTATATTGGTGCATTAAAATTTTTAATTTTCTTAAATAAAAAAGTGATCGAACATATAAATTTTATATTCATACTGTTTTATTCACATTTCATTTCATACTTTTATTTACATTCAATTGCAAAATGAAATTACATGAGAAATGGTTTCTTAATAATTATATAAGCTAAAATTATTTTGATTTTGCAACTGAATATAAATCTTCAGGTCTTGTCTTCCTAGAGGAATCTAATCCAATGAAAACCGGGTCGAAAATCATTGCTGTACAATGTACATGCATACTACAGACCTGACTGTAGTAGAGATGTTCACGAATGCATGAGTATTGATGGTAGTGATAGAGTGTGTCCAGGGTGGGAGAATCGTTACGCGAAAGCCCTCTTGCGATATGGTATTGTCATCGGTCCGTGGGCACCCGCGACCCCTTTCCAACCCTTCCAATTATTCCCAGATCCATTAGGTAGGCGCGCACCG